CCTGATAAAGTCAGCTCGGTGGCCCTGTGGCAGTCCGCGTCTCCTTTGTCACGCTGCCTTCCTGTCCACCTCACACTCCTTGTCGATACGCTGCTGGAACGAGGACGTTTCTGGACTTCAATCCCAGGACCTGCCACTGACAACTGGCAACGGCATCATTCTATGCGACGTCTCCACCACGTCCAACCGTCCCTTTGTGCTACCATCCCTCCGCCGCAAATTCTTCTCCTCCCTGAACAACCTTTCTCCCCCTGGGAGTCAAGCTACCGGACAAGATGATTTCTGACCGCCTCGTCTGACCAGGTACGCACAAGGACCTCAAAGCATGGACACCGGTGTGTCTCGGATGTCAACGGAATAAGGTCCAACGGCACAACAAAGTTTCCATCGGCACCTTCCCTACTGCGGACGCACGGTTCAGTCATGTCCACCTGGACATCGTAGGCCCACTGCCTCTGTCCAATGGCTGTTCCTATCTTCCTACCTGTGTGGATCGATTCACCCGGTGGCGGGAAGCTATCCCTCTGCCCGACGTCGCTGCTTCAACGATCGTCAAAGCTTTCGTCAGTTGCTGGGTTACCATCTTTGGTGCACCCTTCACTATCACGACTGACCGCGGTGCCCAATTTGAATCTTATCTCTTCCAGTCTCTTCCCTCTTTTTAGACCGTACTCGCATCCGCACTACAGCCTATCATCCGGCAGCCAATGGGATGGTTGAGCGGTTCCCTCGCCAACTGAAGGCCTCCCAACGCGCCGCAGAAGATCCGGAGAACTGAACGGGGCCACTGTCCGACTTCCCCGTCAGATGATGTCACCAACCCCGCGTGTTGCAGTCGAGGATCCTACCAACCTTCTGCACAGTCTCCGACAATTCATGCGGACACTTTCCCCGGTTCCGCCCAGGCCATCCATCTCGGAGTCCTACCTCGAGAAATACTTGGCGACATGCACTCACTTCTATCGACGATGTGGTGGAGTCCGCCGGTCACTGGAACCACCCTACGACAGCCCCTTCCAAGTTATCTCTCGTGCGACGAAGAACTTCCGCATCCAATGCGGAACTCGCGAGGAGGTCGTGAGCGTGGACCGTCGCAAAGCTGCCGTCCCGGACACTTCTCCGGATAAGCCCTGTGGTCCCCTACCCCCTGCTCCCCCTCCCTGACCCTCTATCCCTCCGTCCCATACACTTCCTCTGCCGCCATGTCCGCGACACCCAACTGCAAATACCCCCTCCTCAACCTCCAACACTGTAACGGCGAGCCATTCTCACTCTCCATCTGTGCCCCTGTATATATCACCGGCAGTGGTCGCCATGTTAATTTTCCTGAACGTTTGGTTACTTGTGCTTTTTAGACGTTAACCATTCCTTCGGCGTCGCTACACGCCGCCTTCAGTTCAGTTTTATTGAGGGAAATGTAAGTCTTCACGTTTGAACTCCCTATTTGTTCAGCCTGGGAGCACTGTGGCAGTCCGCGTCTCCTTTGTCTCCGCCCTTGTCACGCTGCCTTCCTGTCCGCCTCACACCTTATCGATACGCTGCTAGGAAGCGCGAGGCTGGTCACTAGCCTCGCGAGTGCTCGAAGCCTATCAACGTTGTCCCACTCTGATTGGCTGGCGGATGCTGAGACAGCGAAACAGCCACAAACGCGCTGGGTCTCAGCACTTCGAAGGCGGGCACAAACACCACAGCTTGCTTGGAAAGCGCGCTCGCGGCGACTGCTTACAGAGCCTTTGTGTACGCACTTCCAGTAGTAAAGGTTGTCCAAACCCAATCTGTCTTCCCTGCCTTTTGATTTGGGAACCTCTGTTTTGTCGACCACACCACCTTCGACAGCCCAACAAATAGGAAGATGAGCCAAGGAAGCACTTAAGGAGACATATGAGGACATCAAGCTGTCAAAATTGATCAAACAAGAATGTGATATACTATTTACATGTGAGCTATCGTTTCTCGGTTATCGGTGAGCATTAGTCTGTGGGTATTGCGTTTCCGAAATTTGGATCGGATGGTCACGTAGCCAGCTTATACGGTTAGACGGAGGCTGAAATTTCAACTGCAGGTCAATCTTCTCGGGCATTTCGTCATACTTCAGTTTCAATATCGCCTTAAGGGTCTCCACAGTGGGCGATGGACTGCAGCCACAATTACACACAGACACCGGGTGTCTCCAAACTGGACATCTACCCTACGGGGCTCAGAGGTTTGGTAAAATGTTCTTTCCGTTTGACTGTCGTTTCCGACATGGACATTATCACTGTACCTTATCTATCACTAATTTTAGAGGCAGATGGATTGGTGGACCGGATAGCCGATACAGCCTCCTTGTATCACCATTAGCTGAAGTATGTTCATAATTCCGAACATTTTGACTCTAGAGGTTGTCGCACTCATATCGCGCTACGAGTACTCTCACGATGCATGCCTTTGAACTTCCTATCGAAACGAAGGCGACGTGCACTCGTGATATCAGCCAGTTGGATCGTCTCACTAGTTTTTGCCGCCAAATGAGACGGGAGACTGCCGGTGGCGTAATGGCCGCCCTCATCAATCGAAATAACCAACCAAACAGACACAGCCCTTTACCACCTACACGGACAACCAGCCAGGTGTGCTGATCCAAGTGTACGAGGGTGAACGCACCATGACGCGGGACAATAACTTGTTGGGGAAATTCGAACCGCGGTCAAGCAGCGGGAAGTAGCCTGGAAGAATTTCCTGATTACGACGGGGTACTTGAGAATTAGCACCGTATTTATTCACAGATTGCACTTTTTCAACCATATAGTGGAGCCGTAGCCGAATCCTTGCCAGAACACGGTTGAAGCCATTCTCACTGTCAACATCGGCACTGAGTGTTGTGCGACAGTCTGACATCGAGCTTGCTCCACATACTAGAAAAATTATGCGGTTAACAGGCGATTTGACTTTGTGTTTAGCCATCATTAGGGTAACAAATGGCTAGATGACGTGAATGACCTCCTGAATGGAATATTTGCGTCTCGGTGATGGCCAGGAACCACATGATGGGTTGATTTGTCAAAAGCATCAGGGGAAATCAAGCAGAACTTGAGGAGACTCTTGGCTGAGTCCGTAGTGAGTTTCTACAGCCGAGTACGTTAATCAGTCTGTCGATCGTGTGAGCCGGCTGGGCATCAGCTAGAGAGGCCAAAGCGGGTCCGGAAATGTGCCGCACATATGGCAGCAAGTCGCTCATGATTCTTGCCTAACCATTTCGTTGGGTGGAATAAGGCGAACGAACGGTAAGCGACTTGTCTAATACTGCGAATGCAAGCAGCGAGTTAATACATCCCGTATGAGGGGAGGGGCACAGGCTAGTAAAGACAAACCTGCGAAGAAGGAGACACGATCGCTGGGACAGGTTTTATTCGCCTGACGTTTCGGATTTCTGCTCGAACCCATCACCAGTATCTGCCTTTGTCTCTGATGGTGGGTTCGGGCAGGAATCCGAAACGTCAGGCGAATAAAGCTCTTGTCCCAGCGATCGTGCTTCCTTCTTCACGACTGCTATCTGGGGCTCGTCTCTTCGCCACTTTTGGCAAAGACAAACCTTTTGCCAAAGAGGATGCATAAAAACATAGAGAGCAAGCAGTGGGAATCGCGAGTGGTTGGAAAAGACCAAGTGATGCCTGCACGAAGTCAACTGGCGAAGGCGAAGTTATAAACTGCGCGAGCCCTGAAGTAACATCTGTGCGAGCTGAGTCACAAGTGTGGTGAGCAAACTGTCCGTTTGAACGTTAAAATACCGATACTGGGCAGACTGGAAGGTGGTTAGCGTGCTCGATGTACATCGCGACCCCGGAGTGCGAACAGTGGCGACTGAGGTGCCGTAGAAATTGCAGTCACCTTTTCTGCTTGTGGTGCTCGTGTAAGTATGAAGCAGTAGTCTAAAGAAGCGCATTTAACGGCTTATCAAAAAACAGATTTTAAAACGAAACTCGGTGCAAACACGTGGGGCTACGTGAAAGCGTCCCTCAAACAGATTCAGACAGAGCTTCAAGCAAAAACAAACGAGGGCAAGACATCCTGTCTTTACGCCAAAACTGTTTCAGATGCGATCGAAAGCATTGCTGCAGAACAAGGCGTCACGAACGTACAGCAATCAGAAGTTACCATGGATAGCCAATTCAACAAAATTAAAGACTGACCAAATCCTGGAGGCATTGGTCGTTGATTAGTAAAGCTATTACATAATTATCGCTGGACCTGTTAGTAAAGACATTGCTAACGGTGGATTCCCATGAGAGTTAGAAACGCTCACTCAAGTAGGCAAGCAGTTTTTGTGCTCGACCAGTACCGTAACGGAATAAATTGTTACTTTAGTCTATATGAGACTTGACCGTGGTGCTTAACGAACATTGGGCGACCAAGCACCTGGCTTGATGATGCAAGTTGGGCGATTTTCTATGGGCAACATGGGAATTAAAATAGTACGATTATTGAGTGACAAAGAGTGACCGCCTGCAAACTGCATTTACTGGAACCCCAAGGCCAATCCTTGAAGTAAACTACAACCTACCATGGGATACGAAAAGCTCAGCAAGTAGGCATCTTGAATTTTTGATAATGTCGGGCCTGGTCGACTGTCAGGCCAGGTCGGACGATGCCTTACCGCACAAACATTGAAGGATCGCGACTGCATTCCCTGGAAACATATTCCACACAGTGTTAACAGCAGCCAGATTGCCCTTTGTCTGCCACATACACAGGCAGGCTCCACACATATACGGATGTCAACTTGGATGTCAGCTCCTGCTGGACTGGAAAAGAAATCCTACTAAGCCACATCCTACCTTTTCGTAAGTATGAGGGAGGGCCTCGCGAGCCTATTAGGGCTCAAACGTGGGAAAATGAAGTCTCCTGCAGTGACCGTCTCAACTGCTCGAAAGTTGTCTTTAATTAGTTCATTTTTATGAATGTTGTACGCGCGAGGTACACGGGAACTATAAGTGGCAAAAGAATGCAACAACCTTCAGCGGACCTGGCTGGGAGGTACGCAGGCTCTCAGGTCTGATCGATAAGTATTCACGGACCAGAGGCAACAGTGCTACCGGGACGCTGATAATGTCGCCCTGTTAGTATCAGGCTCCGGTAACCCACAGAATGCAAAGTTGTGGGTTAACGAGGTCACCGAATCAACCTTTATAATACAAACACAGAACGAAGACCTGTGTTTTCGAGCCGAATCCCTGACTAGAAGTGGGCACCATCGGGACTAGTGGTTGTCAACTTGAAGAGGTAGTTTTAAATATCTTGGAGCGCGGCTGCTGTATCATGCGCAGGGCAAGGATGACATTGTCTCGCCGAATAGATGCTGCTTTTAAATGGTTTACAATCCTAAGAAAATGTCTATGGAGCAGATACGACAGCTCCATCATCACAAAGATTAGAATGTACTGGGCATCCGTTCGAATGCCCCCCCCCCCTACACGATTGTGAATACTGGGCTATGTGCATGCAAGATGAGCGATAAGTGGAACTATTTGACCACCGTTGCCTGCGAATCTTCCTCCGAGTGAAGCATGGCGACTCCGTCCCAAATACGAGTCTGGACTCGCTGCAACAAACTCGCATAGATACATAGAGGGACCTCGCTGAGCGGCCATCCATGAAAGAAGATTGATGTGATGTGGACAAGTACTTCGTCGTCCGCCTCAAAAGTTCAGTGTTGTACTCCTTGGTCACCCGGAACCGACAACCTAAAGGCGTTCAATATGAGGCCGGTTCAAAACCTGGCTGGATACTCCGTCGAGACATAGAAGTGGAACCCGGTCTCTATTGCTGGAAAAGGGGGTGACGTGAGCTCTCTAGATACTTTGCCACAGATCGTCACAAGTGGACAGGTGTAATTCGGGGCACTATCGAGACAGGCTAGATCAGGCACAATCACAGTCGTACCTAGTACAAATAAGGAATACAGAGGCATAGCTCACATACAAAAACTTTAAGACCGGGCCGCAGACGGTTGACGCCGAATATGCACCGCGAAAATTAACAAACAGATGTATATGTAGACCCAAGCTCTAATACGGCGGTCCTCTAAGAGAAGTAAACAAACTGGCTAACCGTCTAACTGGGTAAAACGCAAAATGGGTACAGCCCGGCCTAGTGAAAAGGGGCTACATTTTGTACTGCAGAGACACTGTTACAAATGGCTCGTAGCCGCTGCCAACAGTGCTTATGTAGCTGATTGTTTACAATGCCCAGGAATTATTCTAGGCATTCAACCGGAGTAAGGGTAGAAATCCAGAATATCGCATCGAAATGATACTGAACTATATAATTAAATAGCGCTTGATAAGGCAGAAATGTTCGTTTTTTAGATTTAGCCCCACATGGGGACATTAGCAACTATTTGCAAATAAATGCATACTCAACCAACTAAACAGCGTTGAACATGGTCATTCAAAACGGAGAATTGTAACCTATTTGTGGCAGCAGTTTTGAAAACCTAAGAACCAGATAAACCCAGTTTCGGGAAAAATCTTGCATACTATTAATCGTAGAGCTTCGATGCAGCAATAAGAGGTCAGAACCAGAACAACTGTGGGGGTTCGGAAGTAAATTAGGAATAGGAAGCAGAATATATTCTGAGACCAAATTTCACACTAGAAATACAAGAAGGAACAGGGGCGGCAAGAACTGAGTATTTACAGCAAAGTACGTATGTACAGATCTTGGGCAATCAAAGAGGTTAAGTTATCGCACACATCAAGGACTAATTGTAAAAGATGTAATCCCCTGAAGTGTCGCAACAGACAGAGGACGTCAACTTTGTCATAAGTCCAAGTGCGTTAGCGCAGCTTAAAGGGTAAGTAAAACAGGCTGCTTGCCTGCCTGCCAGGTCTCCACAAGCTCCTTGATAAAGTCTAAGCGTTCATAGAAAGTTTCATTGTCCGATGAGCACAGGAGCTCAGCGAGCTTCTGGGAATAGGGTACGAACTGAGATAATTTGTTCTCCTTGGTTTGTTCCGTCCAATTGGAGATTGTCTCAGCGGGAAGTTCGTAAGCATGGTTTATATCATCCTCTTCGGGCGCTTCACAGTCAAGCTTCGCCGATGGAAAGTTCCTAATCGAGCGTAACTTTTGAGTTTTGCGGAAACGATATTTCATTTGTCGCACGTCATTAAGAGAACAGTGCTTTCCAAATTTGCCTAGAAGATGGATTGATATGAAAAGGAAAAACTAACGTTCTATATGTTCCTTTACGGCCGAGTTGGAAGGAGATGACTTGAGAATGTCATTGATTTCATCTTTTTCCTTCTCAGTGAGTCTTCGGTTTTCTGGATAATTTTCAGCGAGCTCCGCGGCCACAGGATGGTTATGGCGCATTACGAAAGCTATTATGTGCAGCTTTTTGGCCCGACAGCCAATACGGATTTCGCACGGACAGTTCATTTTGCGAGTTCTAAAGTAACAAAAATTGAATGTGGAAAGCTTCAAACTTTGGGGGTTGAAGCTTCATGGAACGCACGCGGCCATTCCCGTAGTGGCAACAGGCGTATGTCAGAGATTTATATACCAAGGTGCGGTGTTCAGGAGACTCTGGTGGGTAGCGAATAGAGTTCCGTTTGACTAACAAACATCCAGTTGCCTAGAAGTAACATAGCTAAAAATCTACAACTTGCTGAAAGTCGGTGAGCATTTTTTCAAGATCACTGAAGGAGGAGAAGTGTCTTACAGGTACCAACTCTTGAAATATGCTGGTTTGGTCCGTTAATATGTCACTATCGTCTAAGACGCGTTAGGACAAGAGAAACGTTACCGGAAAAATGATCAGGAATTTGGAGGAGCGGAGGAAGGGGCGGCAACACAGGCTCACTGCTAGAGCATGGACCCTCGTTGAGTTCGTTGTTATCGAAATGGGAGTGGACCATCCAGTACGTACTGGATGTGTAAGTATACTTACACACACGGAGGGTGCCATAGCTATGACAGACGTTTACAAAAGACTGGCAATGTCCACATCTTCCAAAGAAGTCAAAACCAAACTTTAATACCTTTGATAAGCGCACACATATTGGATATATTTATAAACAAACTGATCTCGCTGTGGAGCATCGTTCAATCGTACACTTCGCTTAATAGAATACTGCAAACCGGACGACTAATACTTCAGTAAGGACTTATTAAGATTTAAACCTCTTCGAATTCTTTCATTCGTAATTTGAGTTCCTCGAAAGATGCGAAATACATGGGCTGTAAACTGTTAACGAAGGCATCTGTAAAATCCATCACCAGAAAAGCAATCAAGTCCCCCGGCGGTAAATCAGTAAGTTAGAACACAACATCAGAATTTCGGGAATTGATCATGTAAAAGTGTGTTTCGACACCATCTGTACTTGAACGTATAAGAAGTTCTGAAAAGTTTTAATTCTAACATTTTATAACATTGAACACGAGGAAGCACGGTAAGAATTTGTCTTAGTGGCGTACATTTTAGGAATACGCTCAGCTCAGGATCAGTGCTAGACAGGAAGGCTTAGGTGACAGCTGTAGCTTTTGTATTTGTTCGAGATGTATTCAGCATAACTGGATATGTCCCTGCCAGGACCAGCCTAACCAAGCCCAGTCTGGACCTCCTCCCGCTCCCTCCGCCCTTATGCGCTCGCTTCTTTCTCTTCCAGGCATTATTTCCTTTGGAGGTATCTTCCGACAAATATAAGATCATCAGGTAATCTCCATGCTTTTAAGTGAAGGCTACATCTTTTTGTAAATAGTAACTCGAGAAAACTTTGAATTTCCCTATCCTTCTTGGACCGCTTTCTCTATGAAATTGAGAAAGGGCAATCGGAAATTTAGGACGCTGACACCAAATTACCGTATCCGCCCACATTTCCTTCTCTGTGTGTGGTTTTGCTTTCTGGGATCTCTCACCAGAAATTCCGATTTTTTCTATTCTTCAGTCCATTAATCGTGTGCTTCACAAAAGGCGATATCCTTCCGCACAAATCCACTCAAATGTATCGTGACTAGGTTGACGTGTACGTCCTAATTTTCCTCCGTTTTGCTAGTCGCCGGCCATCATAATGACTCCACTCTGGTCTCTGAGATTTCCAGCTCTCACCCCAAATCGATGGTTTTTCGCGGTCTTCGATATAATCTCTTCATTTGGGCCCCAAATGGTCCATTGACGATCACGGCGTAAATGGTCTGCTTTTGCCATCTGCTAATAGTTTGGTCAGCCTGCAAGTAGGTCTCATGGCCTCATCCCTCCTCTTCGCCTTGAAGACCACTTCAGCCTTCAATGTGCCCTCCTAGGCCGAACTCTTAACGGTCTGTAACCGATCGGGTCTGGGTTCTTCTTGTCTCACTACTGCGACGCGGATAGTTATGATTGGTTTAGGAATTCTGCCCTGACGATTTTCGTTTCGAATCCCTTATACACTACCATATGCAGGCTATCCCTGTCTGATCCGCATATTTGCCCGTTTATGAGCGATAGTATTTCCTCCTTAGAGGCTAAGCCATTTACGTTGACTTTTTCGAAAAAAGGAGTTATTAATTGCACAATAACCGTTTTCCATAAGTGTGGACTGAATGTCGAACCGAGTGTGTCTTCTCTATCTAAAGTTCACTCGAAAAGTTATTTTCAATTCGTTTGATAGTACCCTGATAAGTACCTAATAATACAACTTATTTTTTATTAATTGCATAACCAGCACACATAAAGTCTTCCATTCTGAATTAAATCTGGTTCATCATTGGCGAAAAAGGAAAAATAAGGACGGACTAATCCCGCCACTATGAATGTCTCCATTCCGCATACATGTGGGGTTGGAGATAACATTGAAAATGATAGTCCGTTATGCGTGAGCGTCAAGATTGACGATATCAAATTCGAAACCCGGCCCTTTTTCCAAAAGAGAAAAGTTTCAGTAGATCAAGGTCATGGCCAGCGCGTTCAAAAGATCCAGTAAAATCGAAAAAGTTTATGTAAAGGGGGAAACCACTGTCATAGATTGAAAGTCATGATCAATGAAAAAGAGCTGGTAGGTGTCAAAAGGCTGAGTTTTGAGTAGTCGATGTTAAGCAGTATCCATAAGGTCATTCCCTGTCGATTGACGAATCATCATACCATAAATGAGTGTCTGTAAGATTTTCGGAACTGCTGGAGGGTGTTTATTGGCTGAAAGTCGTCACGTGATTTTAAATATCCTCGCCCACTTTTTCTCACAACCAGCCCGAGCGCCCTACAGAGCACGTATCTGAATGCGAAGACATGAACCCGTGGGTAGAGGGGAGAAGGAAACGCCATAAAAGGAGTCTGAAGTAACAACCAGACCTGTTGATTTGCTCAGGACAGTCGGCCGATAGCAAATGCGCGTCCATGCGACAA